GCAGCCAAGGGCTGTGTTTTCCCAAATAAAACACACAAGCCCTGTCAGCTCGCGCCAGCTCTTCGCCCAAGACACTTTAGTAAGCTTCCAACAAAAAGGAGGCAGACAGAGTCTTTAAGTCGGCTTGAGGGTTTTCAGAGGCGCGTCACGGGGTCCTCATTCCTTTCCCCATGCTGCCCCGGATGGGGACGTGCTGTCTTAGACGGCCTGGCCTGCAGGGTTCTGGGGCCGCCGTCCAGGCCCCGCGCTCACGGCCGTTTCTCCAGCCAAGTGCCCCAGGGCCCGGGAGGAAGAGCCGGAGAGGCTGGGCCTGCTCGCGCTGGTCAACCTCCCGGGGCTCATGGCCAGGGCGGGCCGGAGGCTGCTCGGGTCAAGCACGCTGGCCTCAGTGGCGGGCAGGGCTGTTCGGCGGAGGCAGACGCCCGGGTGGACCTGGGGATCACGTGGGATGGCTGCAGGCAGGTACGGGGACTCCCGGACCCGGTGAGCCTCCGCTGCCGAGGGGCGAGCCCGGCCAGGGACAGGGGTGGACTGGACAGAAGTCCCCAGGAGGCGGTAGCAACCCCGGGCAGAGGGCCGCTTCGCTGGCAGGCTGGATGCCAAGTGGGCTTCCTGGAGGAAGTGACCCTTGGCAGAAGCTTCGGGCAGGTGGTCACCATGTCAGGTCCTGGCCTGCCCTCCCCACACTCACCTCTCAGTGCAGCCCTGGGAGCCGCCCGTTCTGTAGCAGAGGACACTCAGGCATGAGGACGCTCAGGCACGAGGCCGAGCCGTCCCCACCACCTTCCCTCCACCCCTTTCAGCCTCTCTGATGAGGCTGACACTCGCTTCTCCCTCTCAGCCTCACAAACCTCACTTCCCTTACTAGTGTCCCCTGGTTTTTGGAAGCATTCTGCCTTGTGGACTCGTCTGCTGGCTGAGTGTCCAGCGCTCCTGTCCTCTGACGCGCGGCCCCTCCGCGTGGCTGTAGGGGCGGGTCTGGTCTTCCCCGGGGGGAGCCGGCTCCCCGGGGTGGACAGTGCGTCTCCTTGGTCCCCGCCGCGGGCCCCTGGGCGGCCCCGTGGCCTCACTGCTGTAACCGGCGCCGCCGTGACCACGGTGGACACGCAGCCTCCCGAGCCGGCGGCTCCGCGTTCTCTGGGTGATGCCCGAGGGCGGGGGTGCGGGTCCTGCGGTGTTTCCCGTTCCAGTTTTCTAAGGCCGGTCGGATCCTGCCCCTCACGGCTGCAGCGGCTGAGCTCCCCGCCGGGGCCGCCGCCGCCCCGGCCTGTTTGGGGGTAAAGCTAGAGCAAGGTTTTGAATGAGGTGTGTTAAGCTCCAGGCTCTGCCTCATGAGCCCACGAGGGAAACGGGGGTTGGAGGAACATGGGGGGCCGGGGCGCGGGCAGCGGGGGTGATGGGCACACGTGATGTGCGGTGCCCGTGACAGTTGCATGAGGTGCCCACGGGGCCGCCTGCCCCACCTTATCTCTGTGTCTTCTCCCCCCATTGTCCATCCACATGTGCAATTTACCGTTGGGACCCCCGCGGGCGGGGTCATGGGCAACCCCACCTCCAGCGGGCCGGATGTCTGTGCCAGCCAAAACCCACCAGGCTTCACACGGACCAGGTCCCACGGTCCCCAAGTGTCCAGTCACGCTCAGGCTGAGACAGGGGACACCCATGATCCAGCCCCATCCCCCGACCGCGAGCCCACTGGGCAGGGGAGAGCGGGTGCTTCCGAGGAGGGCGGGCGGGGCCCCGCAGCTGGGCGTCTCAAGGACAACAGATGCCAGGGACCCCGTCAGGGGCAGCCTGCTCTGAGGAGGCCTGGACGCGGGGCCGGGGCAGGCTGACTGTGGGAGCGACGTGCGCTCCCGCCCGCCGCAGCTGCTGGGCCTATAGAAGGCTCCGGACCCTGCAGCCCTCCATGGGTGCTCAGGTTTCACCCCCACCCACCACCTCTGCTTCGGTGAGCCCCGCCGGCTAACGCGCATCACCTGTTCTCTGATAGAAACCCGATGGAGTCCAGTCAAACTCCCCACCAGGCCGCAGGGCCCTGCCAGGCGGGCCCTGCCCGAGGCTCCACGTCGTCGCCAGGAGGCTACCCTGTCCTGCCACGTGAGTGCTCCCTTCCTCTGTCTCTGTCCCCCCACGAGCTCCACGCCTGACCGGACGGCGGGTTCCAAGGGTCAGAGGCAGCCTGATGACCCTTGCAGCGCAAACTCTGCTGTCTCTGCCCAGCAGCCAAGAGCAAACAAGTGACCTGGGGGGCCTCGGTCAGTTCCTGGAAAAGGGCTTAGCTAAGCGCAGGGCAAACAGGACGACCTGACCTGGCCCCCGCCCCGGGGCCCCCGCCCGTGGGCCCAGGCCGAGCGCTCTCGGGACCGCAGGGCAGCCGTCCTCCAGTCTGAGTTCGGGGCTCCTCAGCCCCCTGGCCCCTCCTCTGACTGTCCCAGCTCCCCACTCTCCCCCAGAGGCCGAGGGGCCTGGGCAGCTCTGGCGGGCGCCCTCCTCCGGCCGGCGTGGCACATCTCCCCGTCGTGCCTGGCACAGCTTCGGGATCAGAAATGGAGGCCCAGACCTGTGCTCTGAGATGCCGCCCCCCAGTGCGCCTGCGTCCCCCGGCTCCAAGGAGGGCCGGGCTGGGGGCTCGCTCGCTGGAGGGGCTTGAATCGGTCCCCAGAGCGGCTGATGTCCGCTCAGCGCCGGGCAGGAGGCCCCTCTCCTCTGCCGTGTCCGCCGTGGCCATGAAGTTGAGGGGTGGCGCGAGGGGACAGCGGGGGCCCTTCAGAGAGCCCGCCCGTGGCCAGGCCCGTGTGGCCAGCAGAAGCGCCAGCCCCCGGACAGCGGCTGCGGCCCCAGGCACTTGTCCCGGACGGGGAGCGCGTGGTCAAAAGCGATACCTGTGCACACGCGCGCGAGCAAGTGTTCCCTCCTTCCAACTGGGAGCCGCAGCCCGCGGCCTGCTGAGCGTGCCCTGCTGCCATTCGGCTCAGAGCGGGCACAGGCCCCAGCAGCGCCTTTTCCTCCGGGACGGCTGCGGCCGGGCCTCCCGGCTGCCTGGACTGGGACACGGGGCCGGCAAGGGCGCCAAGCCCCCTGGATTTGCACTCTTGGTCCCCCACGGCCTTGGCCCGGGGTGCGGCGGGAGGCGTCTTGGGCCTAGAAGTCTTGGCCCTGCAGGGGCGGCGCAGGCCAGCGTCGGTCCCGGGGGTGGACACACCTGCAGGGAGGCACCCTGGCGCGTGGGCGAGGCCGCCGGCCCCTAATGTACAGGCCCCGCCGCGAACCCAGAGGCACCGGCTGCCGCTCGTTATGCAATAAAACACCGTCGGCGTCGGAGGGGAGGTTCACGCGGGTGTCTGCGGGTGGGGCGAAGTCCAGCGGGCGCTGGGCTGATCAGCAGGGGTGGGCAGCAGACATCTGTGAGCGGCCAGGTAAGGCCTGGCGCCGGGTCTCTGGGGACAGGGGCCCGAGCGCAGCCGCCTCCCGGGCGGAGCCGCCCCCGGCGCTGGCTCGCGGCTGCGAACAGCAGGGGCAGGAGCAGGGCCGGGCCGGAGGCGCTGGCACGGCACCCGCTTCGCTCGCAGAGGAGGGGCGGCCCGCGCTGGCACCCGCCCTGGCATTCCGCGGAGCTCGGCGCGCGAACAAAGCGGCTTTGCAGCGGCCCCTGCGCCTCGCCATTGGCTGCCGGGCGCGGCCTCCCCGCGGGCAGAGGCCCAGGCCCGGCCAGGCAGCGCGGGGGAGGGGCCGGGCCGGGCCGGGCCGGGCCGGGCCGGGCCGCGGCGGGGGCGGGTGGTCGGCGCTGGCGGCCGGGCGCGCGCCCCTCGCCCGACTGCGGCCTCGCCCTGGCCCCGCCACCTGTGGCGTCTCCGCAGCGGCTCGGGCCCGGCTCCCCCGCCCCGGGCCCGCGCCGGGCGCCTCGGCGGCCCCGGCCCGCCCGCCCCCGGCCTCCGCGGCCCGGCCCGGCGGCGGGGAGGGGCGCCCGGCCGGCCCCGCCTCAGTTTCCCCCCGGCGCGGGCGCACGCGGCGGAGCCCGGCCCGGCCCCGCCCCGCCCCCGCGCGCGGCCAATGGGGCGCGGCCGCCCGGGGGTGTGTCCGCGCGGGGGGCGGGGGGCGGCCGGGGGCGGCGCGTGCCGCGGGGGCGCGGCTGGCACGGGCGCGGGGGGCGCGGGGGGCGGGCCGGGCCGGGGGCGCGGCGGCCCGGGCGGGGGCGGGGGCGCGGGGGCGGCCGGGGCGGGCCCCGCGGGCCCCACGGCGCGAGCGCGGCCCAGGCGCCGGCGGCGGGGTGCGGGCCGGGGCTCCCCCGGGCCCCCGCGGCGGGCGGGGCGGCGGCGGCGCATGCGCGGGCGCGGGGCGCGGGCCGGGCCGAGGGCGAGGTGCGCTCCGGGCGGCGCGGGACCCCGGCGAGGGGCCGCCCCCGGCCCGCCTCCTGCGCGCGGGGCGGGCCCGGCGTCCCGGCGGCCTCCGCAGCCGGCGGGCAGGGGCGGCGCGAAGGTCGAGCCGGGACCCGGCGCCGGTCCGCAGGTCGTGCCTGGAGGGGGCCGGGGCGCGGCCGCGGCGGTGTCGCCGACGGGGACGCGCCCCGAAGCCCGACGGAGCGGCCCCCGGCGCGGCGCGCCCGACGGCCCGGCCGGTTCCCGCGGCGGCGCGCCCTGCGCGGAGCCCCCCGCGGCGCCCGGCGCCCCGACCCGCGAGCCCCGGCGCGGCGAGCCCCGGCCGGGCTCCTCGGCGGCCGCGCCCAGGGCGCCCCGGGCGGGCGGGCGGGCGGGCGGGCGGCTGGGGGGGCGCGCGGCCGGCGCCGGCGGAGGCCCAGGGCCGGTTCCGCCGCGGGGCCCGGGGACCCGGCGGGGGCTGGTGCGCCCCGGCCTCGCCGCTGGGCTTGCAGGAGAGAGAATGTGCCCAAATGTCAAGGTTCTTTCCAAGAAAAGTTCGCGGCGCATGAGGTCTTGGCTTTGGCGGGGGCCGCAGAGCCTGGGGGCTGCGCTCCCCAACCCCAGCCGCTCCCTCCCCAGCCGGCCCCCTCCGGCTGGGGAAGGGGGTGCGCCCGGCTTGGGGGGGCGGAGAAGCTCAGGGTTTCCCTGGGAACGACCCTGGACCGGGGCCAGGGAAGAGGCGGGTCACCGTGACTTTCCCCTCCCGTGGCGCTGGGGCGAGTCCAGAGGACACGGCGCGATCGCTTCCTCCTGTCCCTCCTCAGAGCCGCGGCTGACGCGAGGGACCCCCTCATCCCGCCAGGAACCCGGAGGCGACACCAGCCCAGCACCCAGACGAGCAGCCGCAGGTAAATAAGAGATTTGCTTCCCCTGGTTCCCGGCCGGGCTGAGTGTTTGCTTCCCGGCGCTGCTGACTCGCGCCGGGGGTTAATTATTACTCCCGACGCCCTGCAGCCCGTTGTCAGCTTGGAAAGTGAAGTGAGGGCGGTGGCGTCCCTGTCCCTCCGCGCCGCTGCATCAGCGTCACTGGAGCCCCTTCTGGCGCGGGGTTCCCCGCCGTCCAGGCCTGGGCGGTGTGGCTGCGGGTGTTGGGATGTTGCTACTTAGCAGGCGCTGCAGGGGCCCGGCAGGTAGGAGCTGCTCCAGCCCCCGCCGTATTTCTAGTTGGAAGCCCCTGCAGATGGCGCGTGGAGACGGGCTGCCTCCGCCCGGCCTCGCGGGGCAGGGAGAGCCGGAGCGGGGCCCGCGGGGACAGAGGCAGTGGTCACCGCCCACCGAGGGCCCGTGATCCGGGTGAAGGTCCCCAGCGTTGCAGAGGGGTCGACTGCAGGACAAATGCTCTCTCCTGTCTTCTCACCTCTCGGAGAAGAAAAGTCATCCCGTGTCATCCAAAGCGCTTTTCACCAGCCCCGTGGGTCAAGCGTGTAAACTTTTAGGCGCTGTCGATTCTTGAACACGGCCCGCGTGAGCCGTCGCGAGAGCCCAGGGGAGAGAAAACGTGTCTTTTGTGTAGACGCGACGCGTGTTGTGCTTCGTGACGATTAGGCCACGAAAAAGAGCTCGGCCGTGCGGGGAAGTGTGTCTGCACGGCACCCGCTGCGAGGCCCGCGTCCCGCCCCGGGTGCACCGTCGCCGTGGCAGCCCCTCCGTCCTTCGCGGGGCCACCCTGCAGGCGCGCCCTCAGCGCCCTGCCTGCCGCGCCCGCCCGCTGCGCCCAGGGTCTGCTTGCCCAGCAGACTTCCACGTCAGAGTATAAAAGAGAAACTTAGGGATGATCATCGTCGTCTTAAAAGGTGGAGACCCGGGTGCAGCGAGGGGCGCCGTGTCCCGCCGTCTTGCTCCGAGCGTGGGCGCCGGCTTTTCCCGTTTCCGGCGCTGCCCGCGGGCACCGGTGCTTTCCTAGTAGGGATTCTCTGCGCCGTTTCTTCTAAGTCACTAAAGTGCTTCATGGGTTAGCGTAAACCGACCTCGGCCTGCGCCTGACCAGCGCCGTCCCTGCCCACGCCCGTCCGGGGCCGTCCTGCTGGTCTGCTGCCTGCAGAGTCTCCGCTCACCTCTGGCGCCTGAGGGCCTCTGGCTTTGATTGCTCTTTTGGCAGCTCCGTATCCAGTGTGTCTTTTGAACGCCTCACAGACGTTTTGAAACAGGGTGTCGCTTCCATTTGGGGGGTAGACAGACGCTGTAGGTGTTTCTTCTGTTCATTGTTTAAGTAGCTCCAGCCTCACCCCCGGGCGCTCTCGGGGTGGAGAATTTTAATTTCCGACTTGGTGCTCCGTTAGAAGAACCAGATAGGAGGAGACCTGGAGGTCTTTTGGTTCTTTAGAAGAATTGCTTTCGTCTCCCAAGTGTTTCTGTGGCTTGGTAGGAACCTCTTAGGGAGAGGAACATCACATGAATTCTCCAGAGAGTTCTGTGGGGAACAACACAACCTGTGCGCATGTGCTCCCCCTCGAGGGTGTGCGTTCTCTGCGGCCGGAGTCCCGTCACGGCGTCTGCGGCTGTGGCACCGTGGCGTCTGGAGCGCCATGTCCTTGGGACCGCTTGGCCTGCTCTCGGGAGCCAGCCCCGCCCAGGAGCCTGTGGTCCAGCTGCGTTTGTTTTGAGAGCAGCGTGTAGCATGAGGAGAAGTCCCAGGTAATCCCACATGCCTCCGAGACACGGCTTGATATGGGGGAGAGGCTGCAGGTGGCCTGTCAAGAAATTGGGGTTCATGTGGTCGCTGCTGCTGCCAGGCCGGCATCCTGCCCCCCTCCCCAACTTTCTTTTTTTTTTAATTTATTTTGTGTAGAAGAGCTGGGGTACAGGCCAGAGGTGTGGGGGGTGAGAGGACTCACCAGAGACAGAGTGGGGAACAGAACAGGCGGATCCACTGAGACACACTGCTGAGGGGAGCAGCGGGGAGACAGGAGAGGTCTGCCCCCCGATTTGGGTCAGCTCCCTGGCTGGGGATCGAACTTAGGCCACAGTGGTGACAGCGCTGAGACTCAGCCCGTAGTCCCCCAGGGAGGCCCCAAACTGACATTTTTCTCATCAGAAAACAGTTCCTCTCGGGCCTCCCCAGTGGCGCAGCAGTTGAGCGCTGGGCTGCGAAGCTGCCCGCGGCCTCTGCAGCGCCAGTTCGATCCCCGGCCACAGGGCGAGAGTCCCACATGGCGCGCAGACCTCTCCTGCCGCCCGCTGCTCCCCTCAGCAGTGTCCTTCGGTCCTTCTGCCTGCTCTGCTCCCCGCTCTGGCTCTGGTGAATCCTCTCACCCTCCCGCGCTTCTGACTGTGCCCAGTGCTTGTGTAAATAAATAAATAAATCTTTAAAAAAAAAAAAACAACAGTTCCTCTCCATCCCGCCTCTCTGAAGGGGGGTGCTGACCAGCGGTGGCTTCCTGGAGATTCTTTATAAAACAGGAAAAACCATCTCAGCCTGGGGGGCTCCTAGGACACCCCGGCCTGTGCCCCCCTCCGCCTGGGTGACTTGCGCTCTGACCATTTTGTGACTTTTCAGAGGTTTCAGAAAGAACCACCCGCCCAGCATCCTCACCGCTGGCCTTCCTGTTCGAGAGGGTGCAGGGAGGCCTGGCCCTGCCTAGCAGAGATGCCGAGTCCTGTTGCCCCAGAGGGACAGGAGGGAGCGAGGGCCGCCCCTCATCCTGGGAGGGGATGCGTGCCCACCGTGGTGGTGCCCGGGCCCCTGCATCTGTGTCGCCTGCCAGGGCCTGCTTGCAGCGGGCAGAGCGTGTTTCTGCCCACGAACGGGTCGTGTTTGTTGAAGAAACACGTGGTCAGCCGTGTTGAATTCAGGTGTTTCTGAACAGCCCTGGACGTCCACAGTCCCGGGTGTGGGTGGGGGCTGGCCACGGCACTCCCCGAGCTGCCTGCGTCTGAGGAGCCCTGGGCATCCTGCCACTGCCCTGGCCTCGAGGGAACCGTCCTCCCAGCAGGGCCCACGGGGCTGGGGTGGACGCCTGGGCCCTCCCCCGTTCTCCCCACATCAGTGCTCTGAAGGTGCCGCTGTTCTTGAAGTGATGCTGTTCCTGTTCCCGCCGGGTTTGGGGTCTAGCAGGTCCCCCCTCGGCTTTTCGTGAGCTGGCCCGGGATGGCATTCAGTGCCGCGTCTGTCTTTCCACCAGCTTGGGGCTTCAGACCCAAACAACCGAGCGGCAGGGCAGAGGCGCATTTGACCCTGTGCGTCGGGACGTGCTGGGCTGGGACGCCAGGGCCACCGCCTCCGGCTGGACCAGTGATGCCAGGAGCCAGGGGAGAGGGCCTGATCCGGGGCCCTCCTGTGCCAGGACTCACACGCACCCCTGGCCTTTACCTTGCTCAGTTTTAAGAGATCTGCAAACAGAGGAGCGGCCGTTTCCATTCTGACCTACCTGCTTCGCTGTCCGCTTGCGGCCCCGTGGAGGAGGCAGCCCGGGTAGAGCGGGCGCTGGAACAGCAGGCGAGGAGGCGCTGTCCGTGGGGCAGCATGCCCACAGGGGGACTGGAAAGGGCAGCGTCGCCCAGCACAGTGCAGGCCTGGCCCCTCGCTGTCGCGGGAGGAGGCCCTCGGAACACGCGGTGGCTGGGTCACCCCCAGGCCGGGTGACCCATCACAGGCCCGTGACAGGGACGCAGCTGTGTGGCGGCGGGCGTGTGGCTGTGTCCTTTCTAGAATGTTCCGAGAAGCCGGTTGTCAGCCTGCCTGGGGCATTTAAGTGCAGGGTTACACTGAGGGCGCCGCGTGGAAATAGGGGCTGCAGGAGCGGGCGGCACCCCCATTTTGGCTGTGGGGACGCAGGCTGTCTTCGGTTACCTGCGTGTGAATGGTGGGTGCTTACCAGAAGAGTTTTGGGGAGCGTTTTCAGAGCTCTCCCTGGGCGCCGTGCGGTATCCCCTCCGCCGCAGCCAGCGCAGACGCGTTCAGTCCCCACCGCGGTCTCGTCTCGTGGGGCCGGTGAGCGGCTCGTGTCCTCCCCGCCCGCCTGCCGTCCACCGCCTCCGCTGTCGGGGGCGGGATTATCGTAAGTGCTGTTCAGAGGGAAAGCTGTTGCGAGAAACTGGCGGTTTGGCTTGAATAGAGCCATCTTTTGGTGGAAGTTCTTCAGGGTGGAAACCACCTGCTTCCGCCTGCTTGGTGTCGGGTTTCAGCTCGACTGTCCTGACACGGAAGATGGAAGACGTCGGGCTCTGCCAGCAGACCTGGGAGACACCTCAGCCTGGTCTGCAGACGGCCCCGAGCGATCGCAGCCCAGGGCCCTGCGCTGCCCCAGTGGCCCACGGTCAGAGCCTTCTGCAGAGAGAGGGGCGCCGGCCCCGGGGTTCTCACGTCCTCAGGACAAGCCTGACTTCCTGCTCAGCAGAGAGTCCTGATGGAGACGAGTAGTATTTTAATAAAAAAGTTACGTCGTGCAAAGATTTTAATTTGAAGGCAGCTGCTTAATGGAGCGTCTGGTGTCAGAGGAGGGCTTGGAAGTGGAGAGACGGGGCCGGGCTCTGGGCTGCGGGTGAAGCTGATGTCCCTCGCGAGCCCGGCAAAGCCGCGTGGAGAGAGCGGGTGAGGCGGTGGCCCTGGGCGGGCGCTCGGTGCCCAACGTCTGTCCACGCCTGGAAAGGAGGGTTCAGACCCGGAGGAGAAGGTTGGTGGGGGCGCACTGACCGCTGGGGGCCGGGATCTGGAGCAGAGACTGATCACAAATGGGGATGAGACAGCCGCTGCAGCCGGAACACCCCGCAAACCCAAGATGACCACCCCGAGAGGGACAGGAGGGCCGGCCCGGCGCAGGGCTGGCCTGGGGAGGGAGGGAGGCCGGGTGCCCGGGAGGCGGGCCACAGAGCAAGGGCAGAGGCGCCTCCAGGGCCGGACTTTGCCTGT